GGTAGAGCTTTCTTTACAAGAGTGCAGTACTTGTAAAGATACAACAAGGAGGTTGGGCTGTTGTATCCTGGGGGCGGCGTGACCATAAAAATCTGCTGCACCAGTGGCACGAAACGTCCTAAAGAGAGTGATTGATCCACGCCTCAGCTCAAGCTCCTAATACTTTCGGTGACATCTTTCTACTTTTCATCTTCATCTTTAATTAACGGTTTTTGGCTATTCTTTTGTCTATTTTCTTTTCTATTTATTTTTTACGAGGAACAACAATTTTAGGACGTTTCGAAAGAAAATTATTATTATTATTTTTAAAATGAGTTTCCTTCGTGAAAAACCTGTTAAGCTTGTTAATGATCTTAACATGCCTTTTTGTTTTAACGGTGAGCATTTCAAAAAATGGAAAGAAAAAGTTTTATATTATCTTATTTTGTTAAATTTGGCATATATCCTCAATGAGGAAAATCCTATTAATTTGTCAACTGAAGGTATGAGTGCTGGGAAAAAAAAAAAAATCTCACAAGAAGAAAGTCCAAAAGTGGGAGAAAGATGATTATGGTTGCTGCAACTCTTTACTTAATTGCCTTTCTGATGAACTTTATGATTATTATGAAAGAACTTACTCCACTACCAAGGAAACTTAGGATGCTTTGCAGAAAAAATATGACACTGAGGAGGCTGGTGTGAAGATGTGTGCAGGTAGCCGATGGCTGCGCTTCCAAATGGTGGATGACAAGTCGGTGGTGTCACAAATTCGAGAGTTACAAATGGTTGCTCATGAGTCTCAGTCTGAAGGCTTACAGATTGATGACAACCTCGAAGTTGTAGCCATTATCGACAAGCTACCACTTTCATGAAAGGAGTTCCAAAAGATGATGCGTCACAAGCAAAAGGATATCACCATGGAAAATCTTTAACTCGTATTCGAGTTGAAGAGGAGGCAATGAATCAAGATGCTCAAACTACAAATGGTGGTGAAAGCTTTTGAGAACCAAAGTGGAAAAAGCTTTGGGTTGGTATATTTTGGAAATGTAAGCTAATTTTTTCTTTAAGCTTGCGTGCCCAAGGACCCTTTTGTGGCGATGAAAAGTGAGATGAGCAAATATGCTCTTATAAAAATCTTGTGAGCAAAATGAGTTTCTTCATGAACTCAATTATTTGAGAAATGTGATAATCACATATTTGAGATGCTCCCAATGTAGGGGATTGTGATATCCCTATATATTATTATTGGTGATGAGACCAATGATGCCTAATTAAGATTTTGCATAGCATTCCTATTATACAATAAGGTGTAATGGTGCTTAAGAAAGTAAATGTGATATGCACTCCTATTATACAATAAAGTATAATGGTGCTTAACAAAATAAATGTGATATGCATTCCTATTATACAATTATGGTATAATGGTGTATAATGAAAAAAAATAATAAGGTACTTGAGAAAAAGGGTATGTAATGGACATTCCTATTGTACAACAAGGTCTAGTGGTGTTTAAGTTAAAAATTCTTAAATACATGTTTTGACATGTATGGAAAGAAAAAAGGTGGTTCACTAGCTCGATATAAAAAATTGTGGTACCATGAATTGAGAATTTGAGAAATATGAATGTGAATTTTATGAGCTAACAGACAAGTGGGTTGATATGAAAAAGTGAGAATAAGAATGAGTTAAATCTCTTTGTTACCCACTATACCACCAACTAGGTCTTTGGCAAAAACAAAAGTTGGAGGAAAAATCTATGATCATAGTCCAAGGTCTAGTGCTCATCGAGGGGAATGGGATTCAAGCCCAATAACGTAGAACTTGCTATGAGGATACCCAACCCGAATTCTAAGAATTGGGTTTCGAATGGGAAAAACGAATCATAGAGAAGTCGTTGTTGAAAGATGTATCAATATTTAATGGAAAAAATTTTCGGTCTCATTCCTAAGGTGAGGATGCATTGATTCCATAACGAATTGAGGGTTGAGTTTTATACTCTTAATGAAATTTGTAGCTCATAGAGTGGGGTGTCTTAGTTATGGGAGCATCCTTGACAAGTTTCACCTATATGGATGTCGGAATGGGGCCACCCCTATGAGAATAGGGCTATTCTCTAGATCATCCATGAATACCAGGATTAGGCACAAAGGTCGTAATGTGCCAGCTTACAAGCTCAAATTAACACCTGGATTATAATGTGTGTAATATGGTTTCCTATATCCTCTAAGTAGTCCTAGTTCAAGACTTTGCTCGCTAGTGACTTTGGGATAGGAATCATTGACTCACTAAGTAGAGGTTCAAGGCATTGCTACCTCTATTATGCATGGTAATCCATCCTTGCCTATATATATTTCATCTTCTAAGTTTCTTTTATTTTTAATTAAAATGGAGGGGGAATGTTGGAGATTTTAATTAAAAAATTGCAAATCATTTGTGCCCAGTCAGTTACGAATCC